TCAGCACGCACTGCAATCTGCCCATCCGCGTTGACCATCAGCACCGCATGCAGCACTTCACGCTTATATATGGCACTGGTGCCGCTACGCGCGCTTCCTGGGCTTTCGCCTCTGCGCTGGCGTAGCGGGCGGCCGTGGGGCATGTGGCCGCATGGTGCTTGAAGCCATTGCGAACTCCTTTCAGTGGCCTTCTCCATGCGCCTGGGCCATTGATAATTGGCAGGCGCCCCTGCAGCATATGCTGATTCGGCGAACAGAGGCATTGGCGCATCAGTGGCAGTCGCTGTGGCTGTTGAAGCCTACCCCACATTAGGGGATGCCGCAGGTTGCCCCGCAGATGTTGCTGGCGATCCGGCAGCGACCGTAGTGCCTGCCAACATCGCCGTGATGCGGTTCAGCTCTTCACGGAGATCTCTGAGCTCATGTGCCCCGCGGAGTATTTCTTCATGTTGATCAGTTGCGCTGTGATCTCCAGCAAGGGCATAGTGAAACTCAGTTGTCATGAGGCCTACTCCCCTGCAAATTGCACATGGTGCCTCACCTTCGGCACCTTCCAGCGTGCCTGCCAGCTGCCGGCCCACATGTGCTTGAGTCACTCGATCCCAGCATTGCGCATGAATAGGTGGCCACACTGAAGCCTCCACACCTCGTCGTGGTATACGAAGTTGTCCAGGCAGATGCCACATTTGGGAAAATCACCATCGCTGATGATTGGTGGCGCTGACCATGGCCTGATACGCGCCTGTCGCTCAAGTGTGGACTCCCCGATATCATGCTGAATCGGTGGGGCTGCAGGTGCCGTGTCCTGCACCACGGGCAGTGATCCCACGGCTGCCAATGCTGCTAAGCTCGCAGCGGCTTGCCCCGCAGGTGCAGGAGCAGCGGGCGCCCCCGCACGGTTCATCATGCGGCGTAGCTGTCGCTCCTGATTGCGACGTTGGCGAGCCAGTTGTATTGAGAGATTGGCCTGGAGCGCCTCATGGATGTCCAGGATCTCAGGACGCAGCTCCCCCATAGACGACGGTACCACTATTTCATAGCCATTGCGTGTAACCTCCCAGTCCATGGGAGCCGCCAGGTATCCGCAGTGAGGTACTTGGCTTGGTACACCAGGTTCATGCTCAGCGCCGCGCGTCAGCTGGGGCCGGTAGAAGTCATCAGCCGTTGCCAGAACGTACGGGTTCTTTGGCTGAGTGCCAGTCCGTGGGACGCTAGTCTCATGAGCTTAGTAGTCAGGGAACATAAGGTCATCCGTGGGTGCAGCCGTTGACCTTTTCAGCAGCCGTTGGGTCGTGCGTCGGGACTGAAGAATTCTGGAACGTACCCATGTCGATTGGGGTGATCAGGTGATGGATTCGGAGTTGGGACGCATTCCCAAGAAGGCGTCCAGTTCGCGCTCGGGAGGTCGATGCCGTCCCGCCGCATGCTCTGCATAGCTTCACGCATCTGCCGAAATATGCATCTACTGCTGTTGCCACAAGAGGCTCTCGGCCCTCTGGGCAGACTCACGGTCGGTAGTGGCAGGTTGCCCTGCAGAAGCAGGTGGAGATGCAAATGGCGATGTCGCTTGCAAGGCGTGGTAGAGCTCAGTATCCACGCTGATACTTTGGAGCCTAGCCTGCAGACTGTTAGTACCCCGGGCGCTTTGTGGAGTTCCAAATGGGGTCGTAGCTGTGCTCACGGGTGCGAGCGATGCTGGTTGCCCTGCAAGCGCAGGCAGCTGCCTTGCCCGGGTGCTCCACGCGCCGTTCGCATACAGTCCGTCGTTAGGCGCGATCCTGTTGAATGTCATACCAGACCAGCACTCTGGGCTTGAATCCGTGACCCATCCGGGCCTCCCGCAGGTGTCCCTGCTTGGCATGCCTCTTGCATCGTGAAGATAGGGGCATGTTCTACCGCTTGCGCAGGTGTTGACGCGGGGGGCCTTCAGGTTGTAGACTGTCTGGTGCAATCCATCCTCCCAATGTTGATGCATCGAAGGGTCACTCATAGCAACTCCACGGACAACTAGTAGTTGCACGCAGGTGACCACCCTGCTGGCTGTCTTCGATGTATACAGGGCATTTAGACATACTTGTCCAACTCGATCATACATGCACCGGACACTGTTAGACCTGATGCCGATTAGCTGAACAATGTGGCTTGGCGGGATATTGCCGTCGTGGTCTGACGTCGTACTAATGTCGTTGGCAGAGCGCCAGATCGGGATGTTGACGCGAAGGAAATTTTTGAGGCTCACCATAATCAGCACTTCGGACTCTATTCGCAGGCCGGATTGGACCCGCCCATCTCCAGGTAAGTGCGGGCATCCGCAAATCAATTGCCCGCTTTTGTCTGTTGGGGTGTCCCCATTGCGGCAAGACAGACCGACGTGGAGCATGTTCGGGATATTCACCCATTTTGCACCACGAATGGAATAGCAGGTCAGGTCAGGCGTGGTCAGGTCTGTTACCCGTGAGTATAGGGCCTCTGGGCATTTAGTGCCTGGGCTGCTATGCCCATTGGTAGGACGCAAGAAGTACGTCGGGTGGATATCCCCAGTGAGCTCGAGGCTATTCATCTGTAGTCTGTTCTTCTGCGTACCTGAGGAGTCGATCACCCCGTGGAGGTCGAGCGCCGCCAATGCTGGCCCCGAAGGCACCTTTTCAATGGCGTCCAGGTGGCGATGGTGCCAGTTCTCTGCGGGCTGCAAATTTTTCCAGCGAGTCTCCGAGATCCACCCAATCGTCGTGCTCGTCATGCGAGGTGGCGCAGCTGATGAACCGGTTCGAGAACCCATCGTTGTGGAATGACGTTTGCCGCGTAGCCGTAGTGAGCCATTCCGAGCATCACGCTTGTCGGATTCGCTCAGTAGCGTCGAGCGGAGATGCTCACCCCACAGAAACTGCTTAAGAGGTCCCCCTCTCGGATTGGTAGCTGAGGGCAGGTTCCTTCCGCGAAACATTGCGGACGCGCTGACGTGCCAGCGCATAGCCACCAGCGCGCGCGGCGGCACAGTCGACGTCACATTGTACCACTCTCTAGCGTTCAGACCCGTCAGAGGCAAAGAGGTTGTAAGCTGGGTCAATCGTCACCTGGCTAACAGTGCCCAAGGTCTCCCAGTATCTCCAATTTTCCTGACGCAGCTCAGGAGTATCAGCGGGTTGCCCCGCAGGAACAGCGTCGGGTTCATCGGGTGTCCTCACAGGCTCAGGCGCTGCAGGCGCTGCTGATGAGTTGGCGCTCCGGGATGCCTTGACCTTCTCACGGATGTCGCGGTATTGGCATGCGGTAATTGTGGGAGCCCCTCATGGTGCCTTTGAGGCAGTCTGCAATAGCTCAGCATCCGCGCCGCCCTTTAATGAGGAAACTCCTTTGGATGAGCCATCCAATGGCGGCGCCCAGCCTGGTCCCCTATGGACAGGGCCAGGCGTCGGGCCGCGAAGGAATACAGGATCCTTCGGCTTGGGCGCGCTGTCACCTTGGAGCGCTGCTGCTGCTGCGGCCGCTGCGGGCACTCTGGAGCGCTGTCTGCATGCGGGTTTCCCCGCAGGTCTGCGAGCCTTGTTGCTTCCAGGCTCGGCGTCAGCCGACCTGGTCCTTTTCTTGTGTTTGGCCGGTTGTTGATCAGCTACAGGTGACCTTGGCGTATTTGGAGTTGGGGATAGATCAATATCCTTCCCCGATTTCTCCTTTGGTGGCTTCGGGTCCTCTGGCGGTTATTTTGCGGGTGTCCCCGCTGGAGATTGGTGCCGCAGGTTCCCCCGCCTCGGGGCTTTCGGGCTCGTCTTGTGAAAGCGGGTCGTTTGGCTTGAAGAGCGCCGCGTACTTGATCTTAGTCCCAGTCTTGCAGGACAGGTCGTATTTTCCAGCGTCAACTGTACGGTGTGCGACAGCAGTTGTCCAGCCACGGTTCTGCAATTGTATACAATTGCCGCGAGCAAAGCTACCAGGGGAAGGCGGGTGAGGGAACAGGAGCGGGACGACAACGATGAGGAAGGATTCGGATCCCGGAAAGTGTTCCGCGCTGGGTCGAAAGCGCCATTCTGAGGGATGGGAGTCAATTGCCAACCTAAAGCGATAGCAGCGATGCGAAGGGAAGATCACTTTGAGACGCTGAAGGATTTCGGATTTGGAAATTACAATTGGAACCACGAGCTTTTGAAATTTCGTGCGCAGAAGAACAGCAGCGGAGGGGTGCGGACTACTGCCCGGTTGTGTTCAGAGGAGAGAGGAGCGTAGCTCTCACAAGGCGTAATTGTGGAGGGAGGGGGCATGTGGAGGAGATGGGTAACCACGAGGGGGAGGGGGGGAGGAGGGAGCACGGCAGGGTCGGAGGGGGGGGGGGGTGGCGGAGGGAGGATGGTCCATCCTACCTTTGCCCCTTCCCTGCCTCTCCACCCCTGCCCCGGCCCCCCCACCCCCCCTTCATCCTGGATGGAAGGGGGCGGGAAGCGACGGGGGGGGACAGGAGGAGGTGGGAGGGGGACAGGAGGGAGGGAGGATGGATGGGGGAAGGGGCCGAAGAGACGGAGGGCACGTCGAGGCATGGAAAGGTAGGTGAGGAGGGAAGGAGGGAGGATGGATTGGGTGGGGAACAGGGAGGCAGAGGTGCGGGAGGGGAGGGGAGGCTTTTGGCGGGTGGATCTCTCGAGCTCTTCGCCGCCTCTGGCGGTGCGCGTTGCGAGCAGGAACGCAGCAAAGCCACAGTAAAGCGCGGCATTGACAGCGTAGTTCCGCACACGTGACTAATATTAACGAGCAGGAACACAGCAGAACCCCAGTAGAGGGAGGGAGGGGATGCGGCGACAGGACGAAAGAAGATGAGGCGGAGGAGAAGGAAACGGAGGAGGAGAAACAGGAGGTTCCTTTCTCTTCGCCCTCGTCCTCGCGCTCGTCGTCATCTGCATCGGCCCTTCGCGTTCCCCTCCCCCTTCTTCGTTCTCCTCGCTCCCTCCTCTTCCCCTCCTCTCGGTGTCGGTGTCGTCTTCCTCATCCTCCTCATCCTCCCCTGACCTGAGGCGCAGTGCAGAGCGCTCGCGGATACCGCGGAGAGAGCCTGCGCTCAGGCGCCCCCCTCGCGCGAGGGGGATGGGGTTGATGGCAGAGGAGGGAGGGAGGGAGGGAGGCAGGCAGGCAGGGAGGGAGGCATGGCGGCGAGAAGAGGGAGGACGAGGAGGGAGAAGGACTTACAAGACTTACGGCCTTCGCTTGGCGAATAATATATCAATCCACCGCTTAAGCCTTTGCTCGAGCACCTGATGCCTTTAACTCCTTTGCCTTAGGGTGTAAATCCCTGGCAAGCCGATCTAAGTACCCCCTCCTGGTCCTGACGGGAAGCCTACACTCTTCTCGCAAGCCTCGGGTCTGCGACTGGCCAAATTGCCCACAACTTTTGCGAAACCAAAAGCTTTGGCTAGGGTAAAAGGTTATGGCATGCGAGGGGGCTCCACGATTCCCCGACTGCTGATTTCCCGACTGGCCCGCTCCCCGACTCCCCGAGTGGCCGGCTCCCCGACCCCCAACTTCCCCGGCTGGCCGACTCCCCGACTCCCCAATTCTTTTTGCTGACCGAGTGGCCGATTTCCCGAGTCCCCGATTGGCCGACTCCCGACTTGCCGGGTTCCCCGAGTTGCCGACTTCCCGAGTGGCCGACTCCCCGATTGGCCGACTCCCCGACTCCACGACTGGCCGACTGACCGACTCCCCGACTGGCCGATTCCTGGACTCCCCGAGTGGCCGACTCCCCAACATGATGACGCTTTGACTCTCTTGACTCACCGACCCCCGACTGGCCGACTCCCCGACTGGCCGACTCCTCGACTGGCCGTCTCCCCGTCTGGCCGACTCACCGGCTGGCCGATTCCCTGGCTCCTGGACTTTGCGATCCTCTTGCTTCCCGAGTGGCCCATTCCCCGAGCCCCCCATTCCCCGACTAACCGACTCCCCGATTGGCCGACACCCCGACTGGCCATCTTCCCGACTCCCCGATTCCTCGTGTCTGACCGATTTCCCGACTCCCCGATTGCCCGACTGACCGAATCACCGACCCCCCGACTCCCAGATTGGCCGACTCCTTGACTGGCCGACGCCCCGACTCCCCGACTGGCGATCAGGTGACGCTCCGATTGGCCCGCTCCCCGACTGGCCGACTTCCCAACTCCCCGACTGGCCGACTCCCCGACTGACCGACTGACCGACTCCCCGACTTTCCAATTGGCCGACTGCCCGATTCTCCGACTGGCCGACTCCCCGACTGGCCGATTCTCGATTGGCCGATACGCTGGCTCTCCGCTTGGCCAACTCCCCGACTGGCCGACCCCCCGACCCTCTCATTCTCCGACTCCCCGACTCCTGGACTCCACGACTGGCCGACTCGACCCTCCAATTCCAAGACTGGCCGCTTCCCCGATTTTCCAATTCCTTGACTGGCCGACCCCCCGACTGGCCGACGCCCCGACTCCCTATTTTCCCGACTGGCCGGCTTCCCGACTCTGTAGTTGCCCGATTGTTGATTCTCCGACTGGACGAATCCACGACTCCCCGACTGGCCGACTCTCCGACTTTCCGTCTCCCCGATTGCTGACACCGCGATTGGCCGGCTTCGCGATTGGCCAGCTCCCGGACGGGCCGCTTCCCCGACGCCGACTCCCCAAGTCCCCGACTCTCCGACTGGGCGACTCCTGATTGGCCGCTTCCCCGACTCCGCGACTGGCCGACTCCCCGAGACCCCGACTGGCCGATTCCTCGGCTCCGGCTCCCCGTCTCCCCGACTCTTCAGCTCGCCCCCGACTCCCCGACTTCAGCGCCCCAAGAATGCAACCCTACCCCGTCTGCACCCACCGAGATGCTACCGATGAGCGGCCGGCCGGCTTCCCTCCTCCTCCTTCCCCTCTCGCGCTGTAGCAACGCGATGCTGTTGTTTCACACGCCAGTAATTTCCGGGCGCTTCGGCCCCACCCTGCAGCACCCCCGCGGTGCAAGGCGCAGGCCGAGTTCCGAGTCCCGATTCCTCGACTTCTTCCCCGACTCCCCAACTCCCCGGCACCTGGATTCTGCAACTGTCAGACTCCCCGACTTGCCGATCCCCCGACCACCCGACCACCCGGGTCCCCGACTCCCCGACCACTCCCCGACTCCCCGACCTCCCAATTACCCGAATCCCCGACTCCGCGACTCCCTGACTCCCCGACTCCCCGACCCCGCGATCCCGCGACTCCGCGAGCCCGTGATTCCCCGACTCCCCGACTCCCCACGTCCCCGACTCTCCGACTGGCCAGCCCCCCGACACCCCGATTCCACGACGGTCCGACCCCCGTTTCCCCGACCCCCCGACACCCGCATTCGACTCCCCCGACTCTCCGACTCCCTCTTCGATTCCCCGACTCCTCGTCTCCCCCCGACTCCCCGATTCCGCGGCCCCCCGACTCCCTGACTCCACGACTGGCCGACTCCCAGACTGCCCGACCTGCCGACCCCCCGACTTCCCAACTCCCCGACTCCCCCCCCGACTCCCCAAGTTCCCGAGTCCCCGACCGGCCGAATCCCCGACTTCCCGATTCCCCTTTTCCCCGATCTTCCGCTTGGCCGACTTCCGATTCCCGACTTCACGACTCTCCAAGTCCCCGACTCTCCGACTGGCCGACTCCTGACTGGCCGCTTCCCCGACTTCACGATTCCCCGACTCCCCGACGTCTGCCCCCCGACTCTCCGACTGGCCGACTCTCCGATTCCCCAGCTCCCCGATTTCCCGATTCCCTGTCTCCCCGATCCCAGGTGCCCCGGGAGAGCCCCGCGATGCCACGATTTCTGGCCAGGGGTTGGAGATCGTAGCGTCGCTGGGTTTTCTCTGGATCGTTTTCGGGGATCTCCGACCAAGGGATGTCCGTTGGTCTTTGGGGGGCTCTCTCGGGAGTTTTCTCTTGTTCGGAAATTCGAGGGAGACCCGAAAAGCTGTCCGAATCCCGCCCGGGAGCTCCAGGGGCTCCCCGATCTCCCAATTGAGGCTGGAGATCGTGCCCGGTCAGGACCCCCAGAGAGGCTCTGCTGGGTCCTCCCGTGGTGTTCTTGGGGCTTCTCTGGGGCCTTCTTTCTGGAAGCTTCCAGGGAGGCCCGAGAAGCTGTCCGAATCCCGCCCTGGAGCACCCAGGGGCTTCGGCAGAGCCCCGAGAGGCCACGACCTCCCAACTGAGGCTGGATATCGTGGCAGACCAGAAGCCTCGGAGAGGCCTTGTTGGGGCCTCGTATTGCTTTCTTTGGGTGCTTTCTCCGGAGCACTCTCTCACTGGGTGGCTCGAACAAGTATCCGAATCCCGCCCAGGAGCCCCCAAGAGCTCCAGGGAAGCACTCAGAAGCCACGATCTCCCAACTGAGGCTTGAGATCGTGGCGGATCAAGGCGCTCTGAGAGGCTCTGCAGGGGCCTCTTGCAGTTTCCGTGGGGCTTTCTCAGGACCTGTCTCTTGTTGCTCTCTCTCTATCTCTCTTGTTCTCTCGGAGTCTCCGGCGAGGCCCGAAAAGCTATGCGAATCCCGCCCAGGAGCCCCCAGGGGCTTCAGGAGAGCCCCACGAAGCCACGATCTCCCGACTGAGGCTGGAGATAGTGGCGGATCAGGGCCCTCCTGAGAGGCCCTGCCGGGGCCTCCTGTTATTTTCTTGCGGCTTTCTCGGTTTTTTGTTTTGGGGGGGGGGTTCTCTCTCTCTCTCGCTATCTCTCTGTCTCTCTCTCTCTCTCTCTCTCTCGGAGCCTCCAGGGTGGCCCGAAAACCTGCCCGGATCCCGCCCAGCAGCCCCCAGGAGCTCCAGGAGAGCACCGAGAAGCCACGATCTCCCAATTCAGCTTGGAGATCGTGGCGGATGAGGGCCCCCCTGATAGGCCCTGCCAGGGCCTCCTGTGGTCTTCTTGGGGCTTTCTCAGAAGCTTTTCGTTTCCCCTCTCTCTCTCTCTCTTTCTTCCCCTCTCTCTCTCTCTCTCTTTTTTTTGTCTCTCTCTCTCTCTCTCTTTCTCTCTTTTAGAGCCTTCAGGGAGACCCGCGAAGCTGTCCGAATCCCGCCCAGGAGCCCCCAGGGGCTCCAGGAGAGCCACAAGAAACCACGATCCTCCAACTAGCTGGAGATCGTGGCCGATCAGGGCCTCCTGAGAGGCCTTGCCCCGGCTTCGCGTGGTCTTTCTGGGGCGCTCTCAGAAGCCTTCCTTCTCTGTCTGTCTGTCTGTCTGTCTGTCTGTCTGTCTGTCTGTCTGTCTGTCTGTCTGTCTGTCTGTCTGCCTGTTTGCCTGTCTGCCTGTCTGCCTGTCTGCCTGTCTGCCTGTCTGCCTGTCTGCCTGTCTGCCTGTGTGTGTCTGTCTGTGTCTTTGTCTGTGTCTGTCTGTTTGTCTGTCTATATGTCTGTCTGTCTGTCTGTCTGTCTGTCTGCCTGCCTGCCTGCCTGCCTGTCTGTCTGTCTGTCTGTCTGTCTGTCTGTCTGTCTGTCTATCTGTCTGTCCCTCTCTGTTTCTCTCTTTCTCTCTCTCCCTCTCTCGTTCTCTTTCTCGGAGTCTCCGTTGAGGCCAGAAAAGTTGTCCGAATTCCGTCCGGCAGCTCCCAAGGGCTTCAGGAGAGCCCAAGTATCCGTGGTCGTCGTTCAGGATAAAGTCGATGAGAACCCATGCTTCCAACGCAGCCAAACAACTTTCAGGTCTCCGCCGTTTTCGTTCTCTGGGGGGCTGTCTCGGGCCCTGGGGCCAATTACCAGGCGGCTCAGGATGATAAGCCTGCGTTCGGACATGGGTTGGAATTTCCGAGCACTCGGTATATAACAAATGACACGGTGATGAGGTTTGGGGAGGAGGAGAAAACGAGGGGGACGCATGGTCCGCAACCAGTGTGGCTCAAGCGGCGTAGGCAGCGTATACCTTCAGGTCCCCCGAATTGATCCTCAAAGCGGTTACCATGCAGAGGCCTCCCATCTTCAGCCCCACTTTGCAGTCGCTGCCGTCCTTGCAGGAGGATGACGACGAGTTATGGGTGACCGATGACGAGTTCGACCACCCGTGCGGGCCCTGGCGGGTGCAAGCCGATGTCGGCTGCCCATCAGGAAACGTGGTTTGGGCTGGTCCCGGTTGCGTCCAGTCGGCTGCCGACGCGTGGCCGCCATCCCTGCCCAGAGGCGCTTCGCTGCCCCTCGGCGTCGCGGGGGCGGCGCCAGCTGGCTCGCCGACCAGGCCGGGGCCCAGCACGCCGCCGCGCTTCGCCGCCGGGGCGGGGCTCGCCGGGGGCCGCCCCGGCGAATGGTCCCAGCAGGCGAATGGTCCCAGCAGGCGGGGCGGCGGAGCCGGGCCGCGCAGCACAGCCAGCGGAGTTCGGGCAGGGGCCTCCAGCAGCAGCGCGGCGCGGGCGGGCGGCGAGCAGGATCGGCGGCGACAATAGGGGCGAATGGCCCAGGGGCGGACATGACACGTATTCGCCTGGAAGCCTTTTTGGAAGACATAGATCATCGGCGCACCTGAATACATGTATTGCCTTCCCCTGGGCTATTCGCCCCTATCGTCGCCTCTGAAAGGAGGCCGACCTTGTGCACTGGGAGCTTCAGCGCAGTGAGCTCGCTGGCAGCGTGCCGGCGCCGACCGAGGAGGCCGCGCCCTCCGCCCCTGGCGCTCCAGCCATCACCACGCTGATGATCAGCGGCCTACCGATGGCTCTCACGCAGAGAGACCTGCTGGGCCTCATCGACCAGACAGGTTTCGCCGACTGCTACGACTTCGCGTATATGCCGACGGACTTCGACGCTGGGACCACGATGGGACACGCGTTCGTGAACTTCGTCACCCCATATGACGCCCGCGAGTTCTCCATCCAGTGGAACGGATCGCGGCTGACCAGAGTCGCTAGAGACAACACCATCGCGACCGTGCTCGAGGTCAAGGAGTCGGCAAAGCAGGGCTACGCGGAGAATGCCAGGAGGTGGAAGGCTAGCCGGTTGCGCCGTTTTAAGAACCCCGATTTCCGCCCCTTCTTCGCCCAGGGGCGCGCCGCCCAGTGAACGCGCGGCTGGCAGGGCGAGCATCCAAAAGTCGCGCCTAGACGGCGCATCGGCTGATAATAGCGCGCTGAAGGCATACCTGGAAAAACATGCCAGCAGATATGCGCGCAGACGCCGAGCCCATACAACGCCTCGGGGAGCAATCGCCGGACCCTTCGTTCTTGAGCCTCGCGAGGGAGAGCTGCATCTCCCCTCGAGTGAGGGGGGGGGGGGCGCAGGGAGGAATGCGGAGAGTTCCAGGACAGGGGCCACCAGAGGCTTGCCGGAGAGTCCGCGGGGCCCCTGGAGGGTCACTGGAGAGTCCCTGGAGAGTTCCTGGAGAATTCCAGTTCCTTTCTGGAAGAGGAGTTTGCGTTGTAACCTGAAGCTGCCCAGGGCGGAGGGTTCATCGTTCAGCGGTGGCGGATAGCCACAGAGCCAGCTGGAGCCAACAGGAGGAGGAGGAGGAGGAGGAGGAGGAGGAGGAGGAGGAGGAGGAGGAGGAAGACGACCACGGCACCGCGCATCGGACCCTGGTTGGGGTCGCCCCACCGTCGCGATCGCGAGATGCCCCCCTGCTGGGCAGGCAGCCCCCAACCGGGCCGCGCAATGCGTGCTTCGCGCGGAGGGTTGTTCCCAGTGACCCGCCTCTATGAGCCGCCAAGATGGGCGGACGGTTGTTCCCAGTCGCCCCCCGCGCACGTCTGCCAGGGGTATGACTCGGCCTCGGGGGGCTCCGGTCGGCCTGGCGGGGCCGTCGTGAACATGGCGCGAACTGGACCGTCAAAATCCGGGGCGCGCTTGTCAAGACGCGTCGGCATTTCCGAGTTCCAGAGGCCAGTCGTTTGAAGCATTCTTGTTACTTGCTGGAGCCGTGATTCCGATGGCATCAGTATCCTGTCCACTTGTCCCTCCTTTCCACTTGTCCCTCATCCTCTCTTCCATCCCTCCTTTCCACTTGTCCCTCACGTCTTCACTTCTCCTCGCCCTTCACTTCGTAGGCTTCGGAGCCTCAGGAGATGATTTTACTGCGGTTGCTCCAGCTGCAGCGAGAGCGTTCCACAACCGCGACCCTGATTGCGAAGAACCCCCTGTTGGAGCTACGACGTTGCTCAATGTCGTTTCTGCTGGCGCGCTTCAGGAGGAGAAATCTCGGACAGCAGGGGATGGGAGAGGCGGAGACGAATTCTGGGGGGTTTTATACATACATATATATATACACACCTATATATATATGTATGTATATAAACGGGGTCGTAGGATTTGTTTGGGTCCCACCACTTCGTGGGGCAGAAAGCGGGGACTCAGTGCCTTGTCGGGTTGTTGTGGAGGTGTCTTGGGGCGGCTTGGGGGGGGGCCTCCTGGGTGCTCTGGGCGCCCCTGGGGGGGGCCTCTGAAACCATCTTGAAGCGGCTGGCGGTGCTTCTAGGGCTGGGTTGGAGCGTCGGCAAACCGGAAAGGCGGTGAGTTAATTCAAAGCAAACAAACTATAACAATGGATTCCACATATTTTTGCTTGTAAGGGGTCTTTTTGGGGATCGATGGTCACGGTGATGTGACGACGATTTCGATGTTGCTGCTGATGATGATTGTGATGATGATGATGAAGATGCTGATGGTGATGGTGATGCTGATGATGATGTTGATCAGTATGACCATGACGATGCGAATGGTGAAGCGGATCCTGATTTTGATCATGTTGATGGTGATGGTGATGGTGATGATGGTGATGGTGGCGGCAATGATGCTACTGATGATCATGATGATGATGATGACGATACGGATGATCATGCTGATTGTGATGATGATGGTGCCGATTTGGAATCCACTGCCCCTCTGTTATGAGGCAGTTGTATAGGACGGGGCACAGAGGACAGAGTTTTCACACGTTTTGGAGGAATCAGTGAATTCAGCATGGGTCGTGGTTAAAGTGCCTCGAAGAAACCGCGCGCACACGAATCGCAAGCGCATGGCTATGTGCGGACCGAGGGCAGTTTGCTTCCCGTCGTCGTTTTCGCCCTTGTTCCGCCCCTCCTTTCTTCCCCCCCTGGATGGTGTCGAAATCGTCCGCGGCTCGGGCAGGAGCGCGCCCCTTTCCACCTCCCCCATTACTCCTCGTTCCTCTTTGCCTCCTTGCTCTACCGTCCGTCGTCCTACCTCATCTTCCCTCCTTGTTCGAAGACGGGAGGTGAAGTCCCTAATGCCGCGTGCCCGCATCAGCGGCATACCGCTCTTTTGATACCCGAGCACAGCGGCGCAACCAAACAGAAGGGATTGCGAATGCAAGCGTTCGGGGCGCACTCCACACGCGGGCGGCACGGCCGCCAAGCACACGAGCATCGCTAACATGTGTAGGTGACCGCGGCAAGTTCCGCCCCCTTGCCAGCGCGGCGTTCTGTGCGGCGACGCGCGGGGCTTTGACTGTTAAGAGGTCCGTGACATGTGACACCTCTCGTGTTCTGGGATTGCTAGGCGAATTTATTATGGGTCCTTCGGAACTCTTTTGGTATGCTTCTGGGCCGTTGGAAGCCGCTTTGGTGCCGCATTTCACCGTGGCCGCGCTGGGCCAAACAAGCGCGTTTTGCAGCTCCCTCGGGGGCGCCTTGGGCCGAGGAAGTGTGTATTTGCATTCCCTCCTAGCTGGGCGCGTCGACCTCGGTTCTGGGTTGGGCAAGTCGGGGTGTCAATGAGGTGGCGAGCGTTTATTTTTTTCTGGAGTTCACATATCAAGGTGTGCTATGTGTACACAGTTGGTGTCTCCAACTGTGTATTTCCGTGTGCGGGTCCACTGTTTACACAAAGCGTGGTGTGATCTGTGTACACCGATATTGTTCCCATCTGTGTATTTGGAGTGCGCCCCTCGCGGGTGGTGTTGACTGGGCGGGAACTTTCGCGTCTCCTTTTCGGCTGGTCCAGGGGGGGCCTCGTGCGCGTTCGAAATACACCGCTGATGTGTCCAACTGTGCATATGTTGCGTGCCGCTCGCTGGGTCACTGGGTGGGAGTTTCCGTGGACCTCCCGGCCAGCCCAGGAGGGGGCCGTGGTCTTGGAGCGCAGAGGCGCGGGGGGCTGGGGATGCTGGGCCATGGGAATGAAGGGGTTCGATAGGAGGGGTGGCGAAGGGGCCAGGGATGAAAGGGGCAGGACGAGAGAGGGGGAGACATGGGACATGGGCCCAGGAGGAGCTGCATCATCCGCGTCAGCATCGCGGGGGCGAGGGGGGCGGGGGGGTGCAGAAGGAGGGGTGATGATCTGCACTAGGGCGTAGAGGATGGGAGGGGGGCAGGCATGTGAACGATGGGGAACTCATCCGGCGGGGGACGACGAGGAACGACATGAACTGGCACGCAGGGGGTTGGCAATGTGGATGAGGGGCGCGATGTAGACTGGGGGTGGTCGGAGGGGCATGAGGGGGTTGGGCCCAAAACGAACGGGTATTGGGAGGAAGCGGTGGATGGGGATGGGGGCGAGGCGGGCGCCAAGTCACGCTTAGCTGATCAGTTTTCCGCGTGTCCGTGCCCCCCTCCCAAAACGCAGCGACTGGTTGCAGGACATGATTTGGGTAGTCGGGCGCGGCGTGTTGCAGGCCAAATTCTCGAGTCCACGACGCTCCTTGGCGTCGCGCTGACGCCGCCCCGATTGGCCAGACCGCATATGCACAGATGTGCATAAAGTGTGCTTCAACGTTTGTTTCACGACCCTCTCTATAGTAACAGGCCCACGTTGGAATCCAAGTGATGATGGTGATGATGCTGATGATGATGGTTGTGAAGAAGATGATGATGATGATGATGATGATGATGATGGTGATGATGATGGTGATAGTGGCGCTGGCGTGACAATGGTGTTGCTGACGATGGCGATGATGACGATGCCGATGATGATGACGATGATGATGGTGACGGCGACGATGGTAAGTAATGATGGCGCTGATGTTACTACTATTAATAATGATGATGTGGATGATGATGATGATGATGATGATGATGTGGATGATGATGACGATGGTGGCGATGACGGAGGGTCCGAGAAGGTGTTTCTGTGAACTCGCCGAAGCAGCCGGCGTTTCCAATTCCCTTCGAATCGGAGTCAACATTTCTGCAAATTTCTCCACGAACACCTTCCCTCACTATGCTCTGCACGCGGGGGGCGGTGATGGTCACCTTTTTTTCGGTCATTCGAGAGGCCTCTCGAGCTCAGCGCGGCAATGTCAAACGTGCCGTCATTCTCTGCTGCTTGTTATGTGCTGACACTGGGCCTCCAGGAACCTCGAGAGGGCAAAGCATCGAACGACATCCTGTCAGAACCTTCGAAACGTATATTGTATGGAGTGCAGTTCGCACTGGTTGGAAAAAAGGAAATTGGAACTCGTATTAACCCCCACCTTGTTCAACCGAAAATCTGCACAACTGATCGCAGAACATCACACACATAAATCAAGCAACGCAACAGCGCTCGAGAAAACTGCGCCACACACCGTGTCGCAAGAAAGCTTCTGCTGAAATAAATTGCTGCTTTGCGAGGGAAGGGGGGAACGGACACGAAACGAGACAAGAACAGGATGCAAATCATGATTTGCCTGGGCGCCTTCATTCACTGCGCGGCTTCTGCTGCACTGCGTGCAGCTCGCGGGAAATCCCCCAGCCTCGTCGAAAACCGTTCGTCACATGCTTGTTTGTCCGTGCTGTCCATCAGGTAGACCAACGCTCGTGTAGTGGACTGGGCCCTGGCAGCCGACGTCCCACCTTGATGGCACTCAGCTTGATCTTCCTCTCCTTCTGGGCCTTAGTCTGTTCCCACTCCTTCTCTGGCTTGGATTCTGGTGTGTCCTGGACCTTCGTCTCCGTCTTCGAAACCTTGCAGATCACGCTGCATATGAAAGCTACGAGCACCAACAACATCATCATCCTGAAGGCTCCTTGCACCAACGTGCTCAGCGGTATCTTGATCACTATCCGCGGGCTCTTGGTCCACTCGAACTCCACCAGGGCCGTCTCGATCTCACTGTCATAGATCTTCAC